AGGCTTCGACTCTTCAGGCAGGGGTGAGGATCAGCCACGATCCTCAAGGGCTGGCAGACCACCCTTCCTGAGGATCTCAGGGAGCACACCAGGGAAATGGCAGGCGAGTATCCTGTAGGAAGACTTTCCCGAAGAGTTGGCGCTGCCGGGAGCTGCAGGTGAGCCCAGGAAGATGCCTGGACTGGGCCACCTTGTCCTGTGTTCAGACCCGATCCGTTCCCCCCGCCCGGCTGACCTGCATCGCCCGGCGATGCCATCGTCCGTGGTGGCACTGGTGCCAAGAGCCACCCATGTCTATAGAGCTGGGGGGTCTTCCTCTGCCCACATGGTGGTGAAGTTCTGAACGTGGGTGTGGATATCGGCTGCGGTGCTGCTCCTGTCACCTGGAGCGGTTCTGGCTGAAGGAGGGTTTGGATGAGTCGGCTGGGGAAGGGTACAGCCCTTGTGCAGCGAGAGGGTACGGGCTCCTGCGGGGACCGTGGCTGCGTGTCCCCCCTTGTGCTCCTCTGCTTCTGCTTTTCTTGGTCGTAACTTCCTTGTCTGAGTCTTGTTTGCTTGAGCTGCTCCGTCATCCGGTGATACGGGACCGCACCGCCTGCCCAGTGCTTGTCCTTGTCCTCGTCCTCGTCGGGTCCCTCCGGACTGACCTCAGCTGTGTCCCCCGGCTGTCCCACTGCCTGCCGCCCGCAGCAGATCCTCAGGCTTTTAGGGAAATAAAATCCAGGGAGAGGAACTCGCAGCTCAGGGCTTCGGGTCAGCGCGGGCAAGGTGGGTGGCTTCCATCCACCTTTGGGTCTCCCACCATGGCACTGAGTGTGCTTTGAAGCTGGCAGCTCTGGCCGCAGCATTACACTGCATTGCCACTGCTCCGATGGCAGTGACCACCCCCCGGAGCGGGCAGAGCAGCGGGCAGGAGCCGGAAGAGCCCGGAGTTTTAAACCACCAAGAAAACTCTTCAAAGTACTGAGATGTCTTTTTTTTTTTCTTCCCGTAGATTGTCACCAGTATACGAACAGGAGCTGTGAGGAGTGTCTGAAAAATGTCACCGTGAGTAGCAGCAGTAAAACTCCCAGCTTCTTACAATGCCTGAAAACGTAGCGTGGGCTTTATGGGGCTTTTATAGAGCAGTTTCCCTCCTGGACGTGGGGGCCTGCTCCCTTGCCCTTATCCTGAATGCCCTGCAAATGCCACCCACCCATGATGGTGAGAGGGCAACCCCCCTTGGTGCTCTGGGAAGAGGTTGTTAGAAAGCCCTTGGGTTTTGTTCTGTTTTCTTTCGAGTCGGGCAATGGAATTGCCAAGCTCCTCCTCACAGCTGGGAGATGCCATCATGGGGATGGGCATGGTGAAGGAGCCAAGTGGGCTGGATGGGCTGGGCAAGCTGCCCCTACGTGGGTCTGTGGGTGCCATGGCACTGGGTGGATGTGGGATATGCATACCTGTGTCCTGCCAACCTCCTCCACCGCCTTATCTCTGATATCAGCAAACTTGAAGTTGAGTCAGATCTCATAGCTGACTTAGCCAGAACCAGTCTGACCAAAGCCAGCCGAACGCTGGCGTTGGGGGTTGGAGCCACCAGGAAAGGGGAGAGGAGGGTGCAAAGCTGCTGCAGGTAGCCTGGCTGGGACCAACTAGTGAGGTCACACACAAACCTCTCCTGCTCACCAGCTCTGTGTTGGGTGGCTGTCCCAGAGGCTTTCTTCTTGTCCCAAAAACGCTGCATGGAATAACAGAGGATTTGGTGATTGCTACCATCTTGCAAGCCAGGAGAAGCGTTCTCAGCATCTTTGCTTGCTCTAGAAATCCACGCTCCCCTCGCCTGCCTCTCCTGGTGCAGGCAAGCCTCATGCAGCCCACGCAAACCAAACGGGACTCCTGAGCATCCCATTGCTGCTGGGTGGTACCTCAGCGGCCCTGTTGCTGCGGCTAACGAAGCAGAGCGCAGCCAACTGGCGGTACTGCCGCGCACCAGTAACGCTGTGCTGCCCGGTTCCTGTGTCCCAGTGCCTGTGGTGTGCCAGCAGCGGGAAGTGCCTGGAGTACCCCGTCCGAAGAGTCCTCCCCCCGGCCGACCTCTGCGAGCTCCGCTCCGCGCGCTGGGGCGTCTGCTGGGGTAAGTGGATCGCGCTGGGGCGACGGCTGCGCGATGGCACCGGCTGGCGCTGGTGGCAGTGGCAGCGAGGAGGTGGTGGTGGTGGCAGTGGGAAGTTTCCCTTGCCTCGTTTTCTTGCCGCCGGAGTAGCGATGACAGGCTGAGGTCAATCAAGGTCCTGCAAACTTCCTGAAGCGTGGGCGAGGAAGCGGAGCATGAGCAGTTCCTACGTTCTGGCAAGAAGGACCCGTGGGGTGTTAGCTGCTCTACACTCCTCACGCTTTGGTGTGATGGAGGCTTCCAAGCACCTTGGGAGCAAGAGTGGAAGGTGCTCTGTGGACAGCTTGGTGCAGGCAGGACCCAGCTTTTGGAGGCTGGGGCAGCTAGGAAGCAAGCTGAGGCTTGATTTCTCTCCTCTGTCTCCTTGATGGAGAACTTGGAGTTGAATTGTGGTCATCTGGCATCTGTTGTGGGTAGAGGAGAGAGCCCAGCCTCCCGCACAAGGGAGTTAAAACTGCTCCCATACCTTGTGGAGGAAGAATCTCCTCTTTGTGAGCACTACCGTATGCTTTTCTGAAACTTGTGCAAGACCTTGAAATACTAGTTTGTGTGCGAGTGCCTTCACAAAAGGTTTCATTATAGAAGAACACATTCCTTTGCTGGCAAAACTCGCTTCGGAGGAGATTAGTCCTGGGGGAGATTAGCTCTTAAATGAGCCTGTGGTTTTGGTGCGTGTGACTTAAGCCTTTGTCATCAGGTGGTGGAGCGCCCGGTGCTCTGCCACAGTCCTCTCTCTGCGGGAAGGGGTGGTCTGAACCCCAGGCTCACCCTGAAAGCTGAGGTGCCAGAAGCACCACCACGGACCTGCGCTGGTGGAGGAACTCCCTTTTGAGCTGAAGAGACTGTTTGGGTTTGTCTCACCCCACTGGGCTGATTTCGGATCCCTGGCTTTCGGGCTCTCCCCTACCCGACTCCGTGGGTCCGGCGCAGCGCAGCTACCCAGGGAAAGCCTTGTGTTGCTCTGAGATGTGACAGTGCCGTGGACAGTCAGGTCTCAAGTACCATCTTTCTCAAAGCCTCACTGGGAACACAGACCTGCAGACCTCCCTGCTGCTGGGTGACCTTGCTGGTCTTGCTGGTGGCTTGCTGACTACTGGTCTCACGGGTGACCTGCCAGGCCACGGCAACTGCCTGCGGTTGGTATCTGGAACCGCGTTCTTTGCGTGGGGCTTGCCACGATAGCCTGGGTAGGGATGTGGTATGATCTGAGAGTCAGTTGTTGGCAGTGATGGAGCTCTCCACTGCAAGCAGGAGCTGGAGGCTTTGAGAGCAAGTTCAGTGGTGAAGTCGGCTCAGCCTGGAGCACCCCAGTGCTGAGTCCCAGCAGCGAGGGGACAGGCAGGCATCTTCTGAAATGCAGCACGTGCAGTGCTCAGGCTTTCCACTCCACGGTCTGAGCTGCGTGGAGAAGACATTGGAGATGCCCTGAGCAGGCTCAGGTGCACTAGGATGGACTTCTGCAACTTGGCTGCTGTGTGCCAAGTGGCTCCTAAACAATTATTTCCACAGGCCCAAGTCTCTGAACAGTCTGAATCGTACTTGGAGAAACCCTTCTTTGTTGCAAAGGATTGCAGGGGATGTCTAGAGATACGGCCCTTTCTTCTGGTGTCTCTGCTGCTGTTACTGCAGAGGCTGAGTAGGACAGCTGCCTCCCCGGGGCCAGGGCTCAAGGCCGCTGCTTCACCACCACATCCCGGCGGGTTTTGCGCTGTGCGTGGGCGAGCAGATCCCCCGAGCCCTGGGGAGATGTGGTGGTGTGGTACATGAAGCAGCCCTCCACCTTCAGCTGCTTCAACAGCACTGCTGACCCCGAGCCGATAGATCCCAATGGATCTTGTCCTGCTTTCCTCTCACCCAAGGACTCCAGACACCCGTAAGTGCCTCCAGTCCGCTGTCATCTCATCTCAGATGACTTCTGAGGCTGCCCCGTGCGGGCAGTGACCCCAGTGCCAGCGGTGGCCTCTGTCAGAGGTTGCTCCTCAACACTGAAGCCTCTAATGCTCTTTTTTTTTTCCTCTTGATGGGTGACTGATCACCTGGATTAGCGATTAAGACAGCTTTGCTCCTCTTTCTGCCGGAGGAGTTTGACCCGAGTGTGTTCGTTCCTCCCTTTCTTCATAACCAGTTAGCAGCTGCGTGTGCTCCGTTGGTGCCTACGTGCTGGTGCCAACTCTCGCTCTACCTACAGATAACCATGTCCATCTTGCTTTCCCAGGCTGTTACGCGCGTCTCCAGCCCAGTGACTGAAGCTGCTGGTGCCAGTGGCTGTCTGCTTGTAAATACAGTGACTCCAGGCAGCCGTGTACTTGTGTGCTAAATGTCTTTTGTCGAACCCTTTAGTGAACTTTGAAGCCCTGATCATTGCGATGTCTGTGGTGGGAGGAACGATCCTTATCATGTTGGGGGTCTGCTGCTGCTGCTGCTGTTGTAAGAAAAAGAGCAAAAAGCAAGTATCGGAGGGGTTCCCTGTTCTCTCGGGATGGCTCAGATGCAACCACGTGCTGTTGCAGAACTGAGAGCCGAGCGCCGCTAACGGGCTCTTCTGTCTGTCAGGCCAGACAAGGATGACGAGAGAGCGGCCCGGGAGCGGGAGAAGAGGCGAGTGCGGCAGGAGGAGAGGTGAGACTGGCTGCGAGCACTGCCTCAGGCTGCGGAACCATCTGGCTCCTGTCTGTACCATCAGACGTGAGGCCAGGAGGCACGTGGAGCTCAACACATGCGTCACTGGCTGCTTCAACCCAAGCTCAAACGTAAACCTCACGAGCAACGTCTTTCTGGGGTGCTTGTGGATGCAGCATCACGACGGTGATGTGTATCCAGCTCCCTGAGGGCTGCTGATGTGCGGGGGCTCTGGTGGTCCCCAGTGCCGCGGGGAGGTGGGTGGTGGGGGGTTGAGCAAACCTGGCAGTGTGGAGCTCCCTAGGTTGGCGTGGAGCTCCCTAGGTTGGTGTTGAGCTCCCTAGTTCGGCATGGAGCTCCCTAGTTTGGTGTGGAGCTCCCTAGGTTGGCGTTGAGCTCCCTAGGTTGGCGTTGAGCTCCCTAGGTTGGTGTCGAGCTCCCTAGGTTGGCGTTGAGCTCCCTAGGTTGGTGTGGAGCTCCCTAGGTTGGTGTCGAGCTCCCTAGGTTGGTGTCGAGCTCCCTAGGTTGGCATGGAGCTCCCTAGGTTGGCATGAAGCAAGGAGCTGTAGCTCTTCTTGCTTGGTTTTATGTTGCCAGTCACTGACTCGTGGTTTTTCTGTTTCGCTTCTTGCAGGAGAGCAGAGATGAAATCACGGCACGATGAAATCCGAAGGAAATACGGTACAGTGCTGATGCGAGCGATCCAAGCTAAGCTTTAGATCGAGCAGCCTCAGTAACTGTGTTCCTTGCTATGGTTACAGCTGGAGAGGAGACCTGGCCAGTGGGGAAAACACAGTCTCCACTTCCCCCGTCTCAGTGACTTGCTCTCTTTTCCTCTGGGAGCGAGTGTAGAGATGCTCAGGTCACGGCGTGAGACCCCACACAAGCGCTGCTCCTCTTGGGCAGGGAAGAGGGAGCGTTTAATGCTCCCTGGGACCTGTGTCCTCTGAGCTGACCACATGGGTCAGCAGCCTGGGGTGGGGGGCCGGGTGGGTGCCCACAGCTGCAGGAGCACGGAGCAGGTACCAGCCAGACCACAGAGCCGGTCCTCTGTGCCAGCAGCGGTTCCCTGGGAGGTGGCTCAGTCCCTCGGCGGCGCTGGGAGCTCACAGCCTCCCTCCTGGGGCTGGGCTGTCCTTCAGGTGAGTCCCACGGCCCCGGGGCAGGTGGGGACCTGCCTGTGGGGGACAGCAGCCTGGAAGGAAGCGAGGAGCAGCCAGTCACTCAGAGCTGGTGGAGGGATCTCCCCTCCCTGCCCTGGGTTGCTGGGGGCTCTCCCAGGGTGGCCATGGAGCAGGGAGCAGTTGGGCTCATGCATGTTGAGTGCAGTGGTGTCTGGCTTTTGGGGGGGCTGGAGGGAAAGCTGGAGACCCTCTGCCTGCTGCTGCTGCAGGTCCAGGTTGAGATCCAGGGGGCTCTGGCTGGGCTGGCTCTTCTGGGGAAGGAAGAGCAGGCAAAGCTGTGCCTGAAGGAGATCTTGGTGGGGGAAGCATCTGCTCATGGAAGTGGAAGATCTGTGCTCCAGGACTGTCTCACCATGTCAGGGCTCTGCCACGCTGCAGCCAGAGTTTGCGATCTCGTCCTTTCTGGCAGTTTCTCCTCAAAAGCGTTGGGCTGGGAAAGCAGCCAGGAGAGTGGCACGGGGGCTTGTCGCTGGCCCAGAAGTCAGCCCCATGCCCTGCCTTGCTGTCTCCCAGTCTGAGCATGTAGGAGCAGGGGAGCAAGGTCTAAGAACAGTTTTAATTTAATTTGGGTCTGTCTCTGTGCTTCCAAGCCCAGTCCCAACAGAAGGAGCGTGCAGAGGGGTGCTCTGGAAGATCAGGCGTGCTGCTGGACCTGGACTTTCTGTGGACTCCCTAGGAGAGGAGTTTGCCATCAGGTTGAGCTTCTTAGTGGGTGTCTCCTCTTCTGCAGAGGAGAGTGGAATGGCGCTGGCTGCATGCATGGCTCGAGTAAGAGCAGGTCTTTTGGAAGGAGTGCAGGACAGGAGGCTGGATGAAGCACAAGTGACAAATTGTTGTCACCAAGAGCAAGGTTTGTTGCTGGCCGTGACTGGCATGGCAGCTGCTGTCTGAACGAATCTTTCTTCTCTTCTAGGCCTGTTCAAGGAAGAGAATCCTTATGCAAAATTTGAGAATTAGCATCTCCGGACCTGCCCACCCCAGTGAACAGTGCCTTCCCGCCACGAGGAGACCACCATGGTGCCACTTCCCCCTTCAGCTGCCGCAGAAGACGAGCCGAATGCTGGGTGGCATCCCGACATTGGGTTTGTTCCACAGCTTTGCTCTTGCTCTGCTGGTGCAGGAAAACGTGGTGGCAGTACTGGAGGACGACACATTTCTTCTCACTCACTCCTGGGGTGGTAACAGAGTACAAAGCAATGCAAAAAACAGTCCTTGTCCCTGGCCAAGGGCAGAAGTGACCTTATGCATCTTTCTTGCACCTGCTTCACCAAATATCCTTCACGCACACAGAGCCAGGCTCTTCTGTCCCCCCTCTTTCTTTTTCATTTTTTTTTCTTTCGGTATAAGCAAAAGTCAGCAAGAGTTTCTTGCCTCGTTGGTCAGCAGGAGGCCTTGGCTGTTTCTCCAGGTGCCTGTCCCTGTCCCTGCACATTAGCATTCCTTTCAAAAAGCACAAGTTTCTGGTTATCTCGGGCCTCCAGGAGGAAGGTCCCATTTGCACGTTCTCACTTGCAACTAATCCGGGGAAATGCCCCAACTCTCCTACCTCTCTGTGCCTTTCTAGAAAGGTGGCCTCCTGGGCTTGGTGGCCACGGCTGATCACAATTCTGTAGGATTCAGATGCATTTACAATATGTTGACTAGATATTAAACTGATTCGATTACTATCCCAGTCTGAAAGAGTTTAATTCTGCTTCCACGCCAGGTATGAGTTGGCAGCGATGGCTGATGGTGTCGTCACCGTTACGTGGCCCTGGCATGTCGGGCCCCGATGGGGTGGCGGAGGGAGGCAGAAGCAAGGCTGCCTTGAACTCTTGCTGGGCTTGAAAGGAGGAGTTTGTTCATGGAGATGCTCAGTTGTTAGGAAAAGCCGGGTGTTGAGACTAACGCTGCTCCCTAAGAAAGGAGCTGGGTCTTTGTGCAAGAGCATGGCCTGTGTCCCCCAGCACCCTGAGAGCCCTTGTCTAAGTGGGGTGGGCTGGGGGCTCCGGGCAGGGTTGGGCACAGACTGAACCCTGTGCTGTGTACCTGCCTGAGGGACCCTGGGGGTGGGGAAAGGAGGATGGATGGGAGCCGGCTGCTCTTATGTGGTCCCGTATCTGACCAAAATTGGCTCTGCAGCTCTGAGCCTTGCATGCAAGCAATACATCTACCTCCATAGTTTGGCCCGAGAAAATCTTGCCGGCTGCCTTCTGCCCGGTGGGCTGGCTCGTGCCAGGCTGCAGATTTCTGTGGGCTTGCATAAAACACTCCGTTTGCGGTGCCAGGCTTACAGCCCTCGGACACAAACTGCTCGAGCTGAACTTCTGTAGCTAAACCAGCTGTGAAACCTGGCTGCTGCGCCCG